TTACAAGAGTTGGGTTAGGGAAATTTCCAGCTGCAAGTTAAAAACCGTGAGACTCTGGGACTGACCTTGAAGCCTTTAAGTGTTATGGTTAATGGAAGAGGAAAAACAGACCAGTCAACTGCTGACAAAACATTAAGGTCTGGGAGGACTTGGCAACAATCCAGGAGAGGTCCACCATCAGGCCCCCCTGCTTTTCTGAGCCTTTGTACCAGTATATGTAAAACCAAGAGAAATGTTGACAGAAGAGGCTCTAGTGGCGGCATTATTTAAGATAAATGATTCATTGGATCAGCTTCACAGGAAAATGGACACAATAAATGCGAAAGTGGATGTTTCAATCATTAAAACTAACTTAAATATAGAAAGTATAAATAATAGTAATATAGAAACTACCCAGAAATTGACACAGGAACCTATTTCGATATGGCAAACTGTGGAGGAGGCCAGGGAAAAAGCTGTTGTTGTTGAATGTAAAGAAACACAACTGGAGAGAAAGAGAAAGAGAGCCCCAGCCCTACAGAAGCAACTTGATGAATATAAGTTGACGCTTGCTATGACTGAACTTAAAGAAAAACAGACGAATTTGAGGATTAGAGTTCACCTTTGGTGGACATGCCCAAGGATTAAGACACTTTGGGAGATGATTTATAATGAAATGAAAAAGGTATTTAAATATACATTTTTTAAGAAACCAGAGGCCTTTCTCCTGGGCATGGTCGGCCAATTGGTGTTAAAGAAGGATAGAACTCTTTTCACGTATGCAACAATAGCAGCAAGAATACTCATTGTGAAGTACTGGAAGACACAAGATTTATCTATCCGGGAAGAATGGCAGATGAAGTTGATGGACTATATGGAATTGGCAGAAACGACTGGCAGAAATCCGAGACCAGGGAGAAGAGACAGTGGAAGAAGACTGGAAAAAGTTTAAGACTATTTATAGAAATATTGTAAAAATAATGAATGTTAGAAAAATGTTGGAATGAAGTTATATGGCTTTAGTAGAAATGCTATAAGGAATTAAGTATAAATAGACTAATAGAGTATTAAAGGGAAAAATAAGATTAGAATATGTTAAGATAATTATAGGATAGAAAACAGTGGAAGATGGAAAGGAATTGCTGAAACAATTAATAGAAGTGGAATACAAAAAGGGAGGTGTGAGGAGGTCGTGGAAATAAGGGAATGAAAGTTAAGATATTGAAATTGTTTTGTGTTTTAAATGGTTTGCATCTTGTTTTGTTAATCTTATGTTTTTTCTTTGCTTTGCTTTGCTTTTTCTTTTCCTTTTTTGTTTTTTCTGTTTTATTGTGTTTAAATGGTTGGAAAATCAATAAATATTATTTTTTTAAAAATAAAGTGTGTATAAGCATGAGTATATTACTGAAAATACCATACATTATTTTTTATTATATTTCGGAAAAATGCTTTGCAAACTGTATGTATTAGGCAAAACTTTTCACAAGGCTTTTTAATCATCATCATCATCATCCACCAACTCATTTGGAAATGTAGAGAACTGAGCAGAAGATTGGAAAAATGAGAAATTCAGAGAAACTGAAATTGACATGTTCACCCATTCCCCAATTGGGCCATAGATGTTATTTAATGTTGCAAGCTGCCTAACACTTTGCTTTCCCCCCACCCGCCCCTGATCTGCCTCATATTCTTCTCTGTTCTTTTTGTTGTTGTTGTTATTCTAGCTGCTGTTGGGTCCAAATGAAAGGCACAGCTGTTTTGCCTCCCACTCAAGCCAGTTTTGCAACTCTTCCCTTCTGCCCCAGTTCACTTTAATCTCTCACAGTGGTTTGGAGCCTTCCATGTTCCCGCCCTGCCGTCCAAGAGTCGCATTAATGCATCTCAAATAACTGAACAGAGTCCTAATGCAATTCCATAAATGGGCAGTTAAGTTCGTGTTCATAACCACATCATGTTTAATAATGGAGAGGCCATAATAGGCTTTAAAACAATTATCCTACTATAAAGTTATTCCAATGCTTGGCCTTGGCTGCTAGTTTTCAGTTGGCATAATTAAAAAAAGGGAGAGAAGCAAAGTCTGATTTACAAGACATTATGAAACGAGCCATAAACTTTTAAAATTGGCTCTATCTTTTGAAACTGTAGTTAATCTTGAAGAACCCAAGACTGAGTTTGCTCTTTGAGCAAAAGGAGCTGTAAGAGTAATCAGTGGGTGGTTGGCAAAGCCAAGATGAAGAATTAAGGCAAGAAGAGAAGTTCATTCCCCATTAGATCGATCCCATTACCCATTTATCACAGGAAAATGTTAGTTTAAGACAAAAATTAAAATCAGTTTTCCTCATCTGCGGCAAAAACTGGTAATGCGTTGGAAGTCACTGAAGCTTTCCTAATTTCAACATCATTATTCCTATGCTCATATCAGAGGAGTCATTATATTTCAGATTCATTAAATTACATCACCCAGTGTATTTTTCTTGTAGCCAGAATAAGGCATGCTATTTCTGCAAACCTTTGCACAGCACATGAAATTTTCATTTTCCAAAATGAAAATCTTAATAAAGGTCTCCTGGAGCTACATTCCAAATAATGATGCAGTAAGGTCACCTTGCAGTAATAAGCCCAAATGAAGCTCTTTAAAATGCACACTTTTAAAGCATATCCCCCTTTAATTGGGGATGTGTCACCAAAGTGCATTGTTCAGATGTTTCAGCTTCTGCAAGATAAAACTGTGTGTCTCCTATTGGGGAGAAGCAATACAGGATTCCTTATGAGAATTCTCCTAAAATTTCCATTTAAAAAAACACATTTTTATATGTTGTTTTGAGTAAAGTGCACATTTTTGGAAGAATTGTTCCCTGCCAGAATGAGTTTTTGTACAGTATTTTCATTAATATCTCCATTTTTATGCACACTTTCCCGTAATATATGATTTTTTTTGGTAAACACAGTTCGGTTGGAGAACTGCATCACAAAATTTGGATAAGTGCAAAATTCAAAGGTTACAGTTTGCATATTGGTTTTGGAAAGTGTGAACTGGATATATCCAGCTTTAAAGTGGGGTTAAAATGCATTTCTCCTCCATCACTACTCCAAAGCATTTTCACCAAATAAAGCCTTCTCAGTGGTGGCCCCCTGCTTTTGTGGCTTCCTTCCAAGAATAGTTTGACTGGTATCATTCTTATTTTTCTGCCAGTTCCAAATGAATAACTTTTCATTTGCACAGGAATCTTAGTCTTGTTTGTGTGCTTTGATGACCACTGGTTTGTTATTTTGTTGAAATTTGCTATATTCATGTGCTTTTACTTGTAAGCTGCTCTGACAGCCATGGCTAAAGAGGTGCTAATAAATAAATAAGATGTGGCTAGTGATCTGGGGTAAATGCAGATAACTCTACTCAGTCATGTTATTTATTACATTTTAAAACCCACCTTTTCTCCAGAGAGCTGAAGGTGGTGCTCACCATTTTATCTTCACAATGACCCTTGGAAGTAGGTTAAGATGGGCAACATTGACTGGCCCAAGGTCACCCAGTGGCCCAAGGTCACCCAAGTGAGGATTTTAACTCTGTCCAGCTCTGACATTCTAACCCAGGGATGTCCTCCAGATGTTGCAGGCTAAAACTCCCATCATCCTGGATGACTGGGCCATGCTGGGTAGAGTTGATGGGAGTTGAAGTCCAAAACATTCAGAGTTTACTATGTTGGCTATCCCTGCTCTAACCATTGCATCACACAGACTCTCTACTGCAGGGGTCAGCAAACTTACCGCACCTCGAGTCAGTCTGTCCAGTGCCGATTGCGCTGCGGGCTGGAGGGCAGGGGAGCGCGTGCACACACGCTATTTCCAGTGCACTTCCACGTTGAAGGAGCACTGGAAATAGCTTGTGCGCATATGCACGGGCCTCCTCCGACCTGGATGTGCACCGGAAATAGCTTGCACATGCGCACAAGCTATTTCCAGTGCTCCTCCAACCCAGAATTGGGCAGCCGTGCAGCACAGCACCGATAAGAGTGGGCAGCAGGCAGCGGGAGTCACCGCAGGCCAGATAAACGAGTCCCTCAGGCCTTATCCAGCCCATGGGCCTTAGTTTGGGGACCCCTGCTCTACAGATTAACACCACTGTAACAGTCATTTGCCTTCACAACAGCACCTTTGGGAGTGGAGCTGGGGAAGTCTAACAATCTCGAACTGAGAATTCTCACCTGCTCCTTTGGATTAATTATGAGAGTAGAGCACCTTTTCATCAGCATTCCCCAGCCTGTTACCCTCCAGGTATTTGGGGGGTGCATGGCCAATTAGCTCCAGGCAGCAAGAGAAGCCATGGCATGTCAAGGCGGTATAAAACCAACATAAGTTACTATGTAGAGATACCCTGCTCTCAAACTAATGCAACATAAAAAGATGCCTTAAAATGAGCCAAACCATTGGTCCACCTAGTGCAGTACATCCTACACTGCTTGGAAGCAGTTCCCCTAGGTTTCAAGCAGTGAGTATTTCCCATTCCTACCTGGAGATACTGAGGGCTGCACCTGGGACCTTCTGTATGCAAAGCAGATGTTTTACATCCCTTCCCCAAGCATTTATGTCAGGTTCTTCATCAAGGATAGGTTTCTGCTGAATTATCTTCGGAACATCTGTATAATAATGCATGCCTAGCGGGGAAGAAAGAACTCTCGACAGTGTTTTCCCAAAATGAACATATCTGTAACCCCACGTTGACAGGCAAGAGGCAATTATTCACAAAGGGGATTGTTGGCTGAATTCCCTTGACAGGAAGACATACTTTGAAAGAGAACACACCACGGGCATTTGGGCAGAGGGGGGCCAGGGAGAGTCTGCAGATTCCCTTCATTAGTACAGGGACAGGCCCTTGTTAGTTAAAGAAAAGGGAGTACTAAAAAGTGCCTGAAATCCACAAAAATGAAGAAAAGCAAAGACAGCAATGGCAAGAATCTCAAGAATGAAGTCAAGCTGGGAATCACAAGAGTTGCAAGAGAGAACACAAGGGGGAAGTCTGGGAAGGACTGTAGCTTAGTGGTAGAGCATCTGTCTTGCATATAGAAGGTCCCAGGTTCAATTCCTGGTATATCCAGGATGGGCTGGAGAGACTCCTACATGAAATCCTGGGGAGTCGCTGCCAATCATTGTATTCAGGATTGAGACTGATGGTCATTGACCATTGAATCAACACCCTTGTTTTGATAATACGCTAAGCTGCTGAATGGAAGACAGCAACATTGCAGCTGACGTTCAGGGTTGGTGGTCATACGACAGCCCACAGAGTGTAACAAGGACTGTGAGTTTGGGGGGGGGGGGAGAGGGGACTCATTTAATCTCACTGTAAACAAGTGGTACAGTGACAATAAAGTATTTCTATTTCTAAGCCATAGCTAACTATGGCTTAGTATGTTATCCAAACAACATTGTTAACATTGTCCAAAGTTGGTCAAAGAAGCTATCTCACAGGCAGTCAGATCAACTATCGCTTGTTATGTGTCTACAAGCAATTTAGTCCTGCTGGCCACATGACCTAGAAAATCTGTCTGCGGACAAACATCGACTCCCTTAACCTGAAATCAGAGATGAGCACCGCATCCCATAGTCAAATTCAACTGGACTTAACCATCCAGGGTTGCTTTAACTGTACTTTTATTTTTATCAAGAATTATTCTTGGTGGGACTTTCTCCTCAGCTCCAGCCTGCTTTCCCTTTTCTGGACAATGCATCAGCAGCATAACCAGCCCGCTTGCTACTAGCTTGCTGGGCCAGAATACTGGGTGGGGAAACCTGCGTTGCAATTCCTGCAGTGCTCACCAGCCTGCTTCCTATTGGCCGGCTGGACGGGGACTCGCAAGCTAGAGGCATCTTTTGTGGCATTCCTGATTTCCCATTCACTTCTTCACCCTCCCTCCTCCCAGACACAGAATTAACCCCATCACTGCTGCATCCTTCACCCCTTTATTTTCTAATGCATGGATTTTGTTTGTTTTTTAGTGCCTTTTCTTTTCCCATTCATCCTGTGGAAACTGTATCCTGTGTCAGCTGAAATAATCAGGGGAGAAGAAGCAGTGGTAGAAACACCCACCCCAGGAAGAGATATTTACCCTCCCTCACTGGCTTCCCCCTCACTCTAGTGAAACACACACACTTTTACAGAAACATTTGAGGGTTACCTCAACTAGGCCAGAATGATCTGAGGTGATGAGACAAGTTTCTCTTCCACACAGGTGACAGGAGCACCCCTCCATTCCTAAGGATGAGAATCCACAGGACATCCAGCTGAATGGGGAATATCATAGACACTTTGATCACCACACCAAGCAAAATAATGCCTCCTCACTCCACTTGCTTATTTACACCTTTGATTCCTGCTAACGTTCTTGTCAAACGAGTGTGGATTTACGATTTTAATTATGCTAGGCTTGGAGAGATTTAAACATCTGTTATAGGTGTTCAATAAGTATTAGAACAGCAATCAATTCCCCCTCTTTAAATAGAGCTAAGATTTATGGCTATCTGCGAATAGCTAAAACAGCGGAGTTATTTTTGAAAGGGAGGCAGGAGGGCTTTTTAATTAGCTCATAATTAATTCTATTTGGAATGACTAAGACGAAACATAACAGCATTACAAGACGCTATAGTCGCTTAATTACAGAATTTGGCGTGTCGTTATCAGATCCCCTAATGGTGTCATGGTAGCAGCAGCGCTGCCACCCAGCATTTTGCAAGCCATTTATGGATTATCTGTACTTCTTCTCTGCTTCACCTATAATACGAAGATTGGTTGTGTCTGTATTACAGAACACTAAAGCCAAACCAGGGAAAGGGGCCATCCAACTCAAGCCTCATTCAGTATTCTCAAAACGGTTTTGCTCCTTAAATTGTTCTGTAGAGCTACATGTTGCTATTTGGTATGACAGGAGAGAGGAACCACATCCAGATGTTGGACTGGATTGTTATCTTATCCATCCACCCACCCATAGGTCAACTTCACCAGGTGGGTGGAGTGGCCCACCCAGCAATCAGGTAACCCATTTTCAATACCATGTGTAATTTGGGATCAAACCACTTCACACACAAGCACCAGTGAGCAGACAATGGTCAGGGGCTTGGAAAACCCAATGCCCTTGCAAATGTGGCTGTGACTGTCCTCCTGCTCACTTGAAAAGGAACGATTAGGAGCTCATTCTAAGCTCCCAATTCTTCCTAAGCAGTCAGGTATTTTACCTGCCTTGGGATGAGGGAGAAATTTGATTCAGTTTGCATTTAAAGCTAAATCCAGTGCTTTTCTCTGGGGGGTACTCAAGGAGATGCAGTACCAGCACCCGAAGAAGAAGAAGGAGAAGAAGAAGAAGAAGAAGAAGAAGAAGAAGAAGAAGAAGAAGAAGAAGAAAAGCACTGGTTAAAAGTGTGGTAGTTACTATAACAACTTCATGGTGAATACCGGCACCTTTTTTTCTAGAAGAAAACTGCTGGTTAAACCTATCAAATTTGCATTTCCCAAAACAATATGTGAACCAAAGCATAACTCTCCTTCAAAAACTGGACTTTACTGAATTTTGTGGAATACTTGCATATATTGGGTGAAGACATGCATAAAAAATGAAGGCATTAGTGAAAATAACATACAAAAAAGTAGTTTGTTCACGGAAATTTCTTGCAGAAATCTGTACGTTTGTCAAAACAGCACATAAAAATGTACTTAGGAAAGAAACTCATACTAAAATGCTGGTGAATTTTCGACAATTAAAATAAAAATGCAAATCGCTACAAAATGTGGAATTTAAGGTGAGTAGTGATTCATGTTAGGAGGGAATGAAAACAGACAAATCCTGCTATCCCTATACCTGCTCTACACCTGAAGTCACATATCAGATGTGAGAGAGGTGGGCATGGCTTCAAGAAATCAGTCTCATGCGCCTAATTGAGACATCAGTGTCATTTATGAAAACGAAAACAATGCAGATGGATTTCCTACAGCTTTATATAGTGGAACTTCACTCTAGCTGTGGCACAACAGCTCTGACTAATGTACTACTCTAAAGGATACCACAAAAGACATAAATAAACAATTGAGACAGTGTAAGAAATTTCTGATGCCACTCAGGAGCTGAATTCTGCGTAATATAGAATATGCATGGAACAGTGCTTCCTTTCCCCTGTCCTTTCTTGCATTGTTTTTTAATCTCTTATTTCAAAGACCACCACATGCTGAGCAAGTGGAATCTTCCTGAAAGACCTCCCCACCCAATCGTTCGAATGAAATTAGGTTTTTACATTAGCAAGTAAAAACTTTTATTTTGTGTTTTATATTTTTATTTTGTGTTTTATATGTGTTGTGCAGAGGGAAGTGGGACAGGCTTATACACCAAGGTACAGATAACCAGGGAAATCATATTGATAGTCCAGTTTGCTAGAGAGAAGCTGGATCAAGGAGGTGGGCACTCCAGTATATTAGGGTTGCCATATTTCAAACAGTGAAAATCCAGACAGAAAAGTTGTTGAGAGATATTCTAGATAGGTCCAGGAAATTCCAGACATATGTGGATGGCATGCATATCTGTGGTATGACAAGGTCAAAGCACATAAAGCATTTAAAAACCATACTGTCAGGAAAGCACTGTTTAATGTTTGGATAAGATATAAGGATTTATTGGAAAACAAAACTCCAAGGTGGCTGTCACCAATGGAAGCGAAAGCCTTGAAAAAGCTCAATATGGAGGTCAAATGGCCAAAATATTGGGAAATTTTGGAACAAGATGGACACAAATTGAAATTGCAGAGCTTTGAAAAATTAAAAAACAAAGTGCGAGACTGGCTTCATTATTATCAGATAATAGAGGCATACAATTTGGATAAGAAAATTGGCTTCCAGGTGGAAAAATCAAAATTAGAAACAGAACTGTTAGAACCCAAAACTAAGAATTTGTCAAGAATGTATAACTTGCTGCTGAAATGGAATACTCAGGATGAAACGGTGAAATCTGCTATGATTAAATGGGCACAAGATGTTGGACATAACATTATGTTCGCTGACTGGGAACAGTTGTGGACCACAGGTATGAAGTTTACGGCATGTAATGCCCTAAGAGAGAATATTATGAAAATGATATACAGGTGGTACATGACACCAGTCAAGCTTGCAAAAATCTACCATTTGCCTGATAATAAATGTTGGAAATGTAAAGAAACTGAAGGTACATTTTTCCACCTTTGGTGGATGTGCCCAAAGATTAAGGCTTTCTGGGAGATGATATATAATGAATTAAAAAAGGTATTTAAATATACCTTCTTGAAGAAACCAGAGGCCTTTCTCCTGGGCATAGTCGGCCAATCGGTGTTAAAAAAGGACAGAACTTTCTTTATGTACGCTACAACAGCAGCAAGAATACTCATCGCAAAGTATTGGAAGACACAAGAGCTACCCACACTGGAGGAATGGCAGATGAAAATGATGGACTATATGGAATTGGCGGAAATGACTGGCAGAATCCGTGACCAGGGAGAAGAGTCGGTGGAAGAAGATTGGAAGAAATTTAAAGATTATTTACAGAAACATTGCAAAATTAATGAATGTTAGAGTGATGTTGGATTGAAGTTAAGTGGCTTCTAGCTGTACAGGCTTTAAAGCTATAAATATATCAAGATTAAGGACTAGGATCAAAAAGGTTAAAAGAAATGGAAAAATTGGTTTTAAATAGGTAAAAATCTAATGTCATAATATATTAAGATTTAGGATTGGAATTAAAAAGGAGGGAAAGAAATTGCTGGACTTACAAACTGAATTGGAATACAAAAGAGGGAGGTATGAGGAAGTCCGGGAAACAAGTAAATGTAAAAGAAGTTACGAAAAGACGGAATTGTTTTTAACTGTTTTTTTTCTTTTTTCTTTTTTTCTTTTTTTTGTATTTTGTATTGTGCATTTTTCTCTGTTTCTGTTAAAAAATTTCTTGTTTATTAATGTGATTTTATTCTTTCTGAAACTTTAATAAATATTAATTTTAAAAAAAAGGAAATTCCAGACATATGGCATCTCTACAGTATATTGGAGGTAAAACATCTGAGGGTTATCCCTGCCTTATCCCTCTCCAGTCTCTGGACCCTTGCAGAATCATTAAAAGGTCAGTCCTTTGTCTGGGGCATGAGTCACTCTCTGCTACCTCATGCAATGGCGGAGGAATGGGAGTGCGGAGGCAGCGGACCCCCCCCCCAGCACCACTATTCCAGTAGGGTGCCATTGTGGTGTCCCCCCCCCCATGTGCCTCACCCCACGCCCTCACAGGCGGCACATCAAACCCCCAGAACCTGCGCTACGACCCTGCAGGCAGTGCACTACGCCCTCGTGGGTGGCATACCACGCCCCCAGGATGCGTGTCACACCCCTGCTTGCTCTCCACCCAGTGGCATGCCCCACCCTTGCTCTCCACCCAGTGGCATCGCAACAGGGGGCGGGGGGGCGCCCCAGGTGCCATGTCTGGGGGGGGATGACAAGAAGGCACCCACAGGGGCTCGCAGCAGCGCAAGCAGCCATCGCACCACCGCAGCTGCATGTGGAGAATCCTCCGTTCATGGCTGTAGCAGCGACAGAGGGATCCCGGCACTGTCCATACGGCGCTGGAGCGGCAGCCGTGGCAAACTGCTATGTACAGCGCATGTGCGGCACGCTACGTAAGGCGCATGTGTTGTACTTAGTGAAGCCACACATGCACCCTACGTAGCGATGCCCCACCTTCGTTCTCCCCTGCTGATGCCTGGTCAATGAGCAGACACTGCACATGGCACAGGGAGATCTGGACTCTAAGCAGAGTTGGGCTTAGGAGAAATTTCCTCTGGGGTCCTGGTTCTGGAGTCTTGGACAAGGCACTAAATCGTGCTTATCTGCTGGTGATTCAGGTGACATAGATTGAACCAGTTTCCCCACCCCAGTCCTCATTGCTCCTCATGATAATCACTTCCACCCAAAAGCAAGTCACACCCACTTGGAACTGTCTGGTTGTAAGGGGTTGGTGCTGCCAAAGCTAGCATAGATAAAACTCCAGGCTCGCAGCCAGTTTCTGTCTTTAAGGTTTATTTACAGAGTTCAAACAGTTCTGAGAACTTCAAAGGCATGTCCGTGCCTGTCTCGTTAAGATGCCTCGAATGGTTTTTTCTTACTCCTCCTCCCCCAGCAGGCCAATCGTCGAAAGACCCACCTCTTACTTCCTCTGTTCAGTGAATAGCTAGTTCCGGGCTCTGAATCCCCCCTCCCTGTCTCTTCTTCCGAGTCAGATGAGAAACTGCTAATTAGCTGTTTCGGCTCTCTGTAAGTGCTAGTCTCCCCCCTTGGCTCTCTTGCTGTTTGCACTTCCCTGACATTGGTTCAGGCTCCTTCTTCCTTAGCTGGAAAATTCAGTCCTACCTTCCTCTTTGCTTTTTGTTTTTATTAGGTTTTATTAAAGATTTTTCTTGTGTATGTTCAGTATGAGACACTACGGTCACAGACATCTTGCAGCTGGGGACAAGAGAAGAGAGAAAGATATCTCTCATAATCATAGAATCACAGAACTATAGAGTTCAAAGGGACCTTGAGGATCATCTAACCCCCTGCAATACAGGAATATGTGGTTGTCCCATAGGGAGATCGAACCTGCAACCTTGGTGTTCTCAGCACCATGCTCTAACCAACTGAGCTATCCAGACCCCAATGTTCTTTCATTCTATTGCTATTGTGTCAGCGTAGGGTTTTGTGTGAGCATCCCATCATGGCTGGCATGTGGTAGCCACCAACTGTCATGGGCTGTTGATGAAAGACCTTCTAGCTATTAACGACCGCAGAGGAAGTATCAATTGATCATTACTTACCATTAGCAAGCAAGCAAGCAAGCCTTTAAAAAAAGATAATCTAACTGCCATTATAGTACTTACCCCATGATGACCATAGGCCATTGTATTCCCCCCCCCCATCATAGAACTCCTGGTTACCCCTATTGATTTCCCATAGATCAGTGGGATTGCAGTGGATGAGTATTGACAAGGTGTGCTGTTACATCAGGCATATTATTGATCCCGCAATTAAACACTATTGAATGGGACCAATTAAAAATGAGAGATCCTATCAAGTGTGTAAGCCAAGGAGGCCCTTGGGAGATTGCAGATATACAAACTTGTGCATTGACACTCTCACTCCTACACACACACACCCCAATTCAGAAACCTCTGTGTGTCATTTCTCCATTCAACTCAGCTCCCATTTTGCAACTATCTGCTTAATTAGTCAGGTGGTTAAAGTTAGTGATCTATTTCATGAAGGTGTTTGTTCTCCAGCGGTTGCATCGCAAGCATTACTGTTTAAAGGTGCACTTTGCAGTTGACTTCCTACTTGAAAAGAGACTGACACAATGAATTGGCCTGGTAAAAGAGAGAAATTCATTGCAGCTGAGAATTAAGATCTCCTTGAGACCCACAGCTGCCAGCGCAGAGACATCTATTGAATCATGATCTGATATTGTCCTTTCTATTTCTGAATTTCAGAGGTGAGAGTGAATCCATTTGGAGTCAAACAGCATCATCACTACACAAGAAAGTAGTATCAGGAGGATCAGGGGAGCACCAAGGTTTGCAGAAGTAGGGGGGTTGGAATCTTTAGTGAGGAAATAAAAATTTGGAGAGAACCCCAAAACTAGCCCAGTAAAGTCCAGGTTTGCTCTGAGATTATGGAATGCTACCTGACTGTTGGGGAAGGGAAGCAAAACTGTGGGTGGAGGGGGATGTCATGCTCCCACTTGAGTCGTATTAATGGCTGCAGAAGTTGACTGATTGGGTACAGGAATGTCTCCCAAACTTGGATTTCCAGCTGTTTTTGGACTACAAGTTCCATCTTACCTGACTACTGGTCTTGCTAGCAAGGGATGATGGGAGTTGTAGTCAAAAAACAGTTAGAGAACCAAGTTTGAGAAACACTGGGAAGGGTCAATCCTTTTTCCATGTCTCATCTGTGTAAAAAGTTGGGAGTCAGCGTGATTGATGTATCACAGGGCAAGGAACCCTTTTCAGCCTGAGGGACACATTCCATTCTGGAAAACCTTCCAGGGGGCCAAATGGTAGTGGTGGGTGAAGCCAGAGGCAAAAGTAGGCAGAGTAACAAGTGTGAATTGTATCTTTGTAAAGTAAAACTCCACTTGCACATCTTTCTCTATCCTCCAAGCAAGCAAGCAAGAAGCACTTTTGCCGGAGTTCAGGGATACATTCCAGCCAGGTTAACATAACATATTTGAGCAGGACTGGTAAGCACCGTTGATGTGGAGAGGGTATGGCTTAGGAAGAGTCTCAAGGGCTAACTAGAGGGATCTGTTGCCTCAGTTTCCCCAGCCCTGATGTTGACCTAGCTCCTTTAGAGAAAAGGGCATGGCTCAGTGGTAGGGCATCTGCCTTGCATGCAGAAGGTCCCAGGTTCAATCCCCAGCACCTCCAGATAGGACTAAGAGAGACTCCCTGTCTGAACTCCTCAGGAGCCACTACCAGTCACAGCAGACAATACTGAGTGAGATGCACAAATGGTCTGTTGGGGAGAGAGGTTTGGAGAAGAACTCCTTTGCTCTCTTGCAGCCAAGTTAGCACAATAGTGATTGCTATCAAGCACATTGGACCTTAGTTAAACTTTACATCTGCCCTCACCCACCTTTAAACAAACATTTCCCACAAAAAATCTTAGGCTAGAATAAATCACAGACACATGATTTTGCAAATAAGTGAAGGTTTGACTCACATATTTTCTAGAAGTCACCACCCACTGGCATTAAAACAAAGAGGGAAAAGGCCCCAAATGACTTTAAAAGAAAAGAACATGGTTTCCTTACAAAAATGACCATGCAATCTTTGGGTTAGCAAAGATGCAGGCTATAAAATCTCCTTTTAGAGAGATTTGGTTCACTTGCCATGGCCGCACTGCTGAGGCCTGCTAAGCCACACCCATTCTGGTAATGAGCTCAGGGCTCAGGTTAACTCTTTCATGCACACAAGTGTGAGTCAGTAACTGTATTTTATAGTATGCTCTGATTATAAATAATAAAATGCATCATAAGTCATCCTTCTATGTTCCTCCCATCCTTGGACACAGGGAAACTTCTTCACTAAAGGAAACCTGAAAACTTTATATTAGAAGTCAGCAGACAATAGCCCAGAGTTCAGGGTGCACTACAGCAGGGATCCTCACGTGTAAGGAGTAGCTAAGATGTTGTCCGAACACCAGATGCACACCCCCTTCACTCTACCCTTAAATGAGCAGGATAGGACCAGTCATTTGCATGCCTCTCATCCCAAATGAGAAGACTGTGCTTGTAAGCATGCACTTCTATGGGAGTGGGGGATTCTGTTTGCACAAGTTCAATAGATGGCATATACCATTCAAAATAGGAGGCAGCTGCTTTTCCAAGTAATTGTGACTGTTTAATCAGTTTCAAACCTGGATGTTAAGAAGGAGAAGGAGAAGGAGAAAGAGACCCTCTCAGGACTTGACAATTTCTGAAGACCAGATTAGATTATACAAATCATGGTTCAAACTATTTTAGTATTCGACAAATGTTCTTTTCCCCAAAGTGCAGGAAAGGCACATGGTGAGTATCTCATATGGAACATCTGGTGCCAAAAAAGCAACCCTGTATGTCTTCAGCAGCTTCTGACAGCAGTGAAAAGATCAACGGCAGCCACAAAAACATTAAAGGATTCCTCCAGCCTATTGTCAGAGTAAAATGTATATTTAAAGCACCTCTTCTCAAGAGCAGGCACATTTCCCTCCGGTGTGGAGAGTCGTGTCATCATGTGTGTGAAGCTATAGTAATTGTCCAGCCACTGTGTGTTTGCTTTTACAACTGCTGGGGGTTAAACTAGAACTCAGAACCAGCAGGAGGATTTTTCCTAAAGGCAGTTGAAAGTAGACCCAGTGGCCCTTTGATCTGTGCTTAAAGCATAAAACAGGATAACTGTCACCATCCTCTTGGAGCAACTTCAGAATTCATCCCTCACATATGCTGCAAGCAGAGAAAAATATTGTCAGATATTGTCAGGAAACATTGTGGGCTTCACAGTGGTTGCAGGTTTGATCTCCTATAACCTTTGGCCCACTGCTGTGCCACCTCACCCAGGTAAACGGTTTCATCTCCAAAGCTTCACAGCACCACCATTACTAACATTTGATAACCACATGTTCTGTATCTATGATGCACTTGCCTTTCATCAATAGGCAGAGTCAGAAGGTAGGATGCTTTTCACAAAGATGAGCAGCAGATGAAGAGAGGGGTTAAACAGAAGCTAATGGGGGAGACCACAGGTCATGGAATTTTGCAACCTATGTCACTGGGCTCCTTGTTAAATAAATGCATTAAAAAGGAGAGGCTCTGCACAATCTGATAAGCCACAGACTACTGAAGCGCAGTGTCCACAGCTCAGAATGGACCACAAGCTACCCGAGAAGAATGGCAGAGAAAAGTGATAGACTATATGGAACTGGCTGAGATGACCGGCAGAATTCGAGATCAGGAAGAAGGGTCGATGGAAGAAGATTGGAAAAAATTTAAAATATATCTTCAGAAATACTGTAATATAAAAGAATGTTAGAAAAGGTTGGAGAAGAATATTAGACCGTATTGGTAGACAGAGTATAATGGAATAAGTAAATATGATTCGAATGTTAAAATAAGTAAATGAAAAGAAGGTTAGAAGGATTTGCTGGAGATATGATTCAAACTAGAATACAAAGCAGAGAGGTGAGAGGAAGTCATGGAAATAAGTAAATGGGAAGACGGTTCTAATGGTTTAATTTGATTTTTTGTTACTTTTTTATTGTGATTTTCTGTCTTTTGTATTTTTCTTTGTACTTCGTTTTTTTTTGTAAGATGTATGTGATTTGTCTTTCTTTTTCTATTTTTTTCTTTTTCTGTAATTTTAAAATTGGAATAAATATTCATTAAAAAAAAAAAAAACAGAATGGACCACAAGCTTACATATGTGGTGGACCTGTAAGAAAATAAAGGAATTTCGGGATGTAATTTATAACGAGCTCAAAAGGATGTTTAAGATCTCCTTTATAAAAACGAACAAACCAGAAGTCTTCCTCCTGGGGATACTAGGCACAGATATACCTAAAAAAGCAAGGGGAATATTCTGGTATGCCACGGTAGCTACAAGAATATTAATCGCTACAAATTGGAAAGGCAAAAAGATCCCAACTAAACTGGAGTGGCAAAGTAAGCCATTAGAATACGCCAAGTTGGCAAAAATTACAGGGAAACTGAGAGGTCATAGTGAACAGACATTTATTAAAGAATGGGACATTCTTTAAAGAATAGGACTAGCCGCCTGAGAAACAGTTTTTATTCAAATGTGATTTTGGTTTTAAACACAGTGTAAGGTAGTCTCTGTGGGAGTACCGGTATATTGTATTTAATTATGGGGTATCAGAGTTTTTAGGGGGTTAACCAGGCTGGGATAGCAGGCTTGTTGGTTTTTGAATGTCTGGTGTAGATTTTTTTCAATTTTGTTGTTCTGTATGGGACAGTGACAACAAAGATTATCATATCGTATGTACAAAAATATACCTTAAGGAACATTGTAATAACATGACATCAATGGCAGGCCTTGAATGACTTCTGTGATGTTGTGGATACTTATAGGATAATAAGTCTATAATGGAAATTAATAAAGGAAAATGGATAGCTGTTAGAAAAAATAAGTGGTAGATGCATGATGGGGTGACGGGAGTTGTTATAGTTGTAAGAATAATTTATTGTGATTTGTTATAACATTTATTACTGTTTTCTTTCTGGGTGGGTGAATTTCTGTTCTGTTCGTTGTTTTTCTTTAACTTCAATAAAGCATTTAAAAGAAAACAACAGAATGGACCACAAGCTTTGTATGAAGAAGATGTCAAGGTTCTACTTCAGGAATTTCCAGCTAAAAGAATTCAGCAGTGGGTGATAGGCAAGATCTCTACCTGAGACCAAGAGAATCATTTCCAAGCACAGTAGACCAGGGGCAGGAAACCTTAGGTCTGGTCACTTTTGGCCCCCAAGCAAGAGTTCCCCCATCCCTCCTACAAAGGGACAATGATCAGGGCACCAGGATTGTCTTCAGCTTCCTGTTGTCTGGAATCAGGTTGTTTGGAAGACTGTCTTCCAACTCATACTAACTTACCCTTACCACACAGTGTTGTAGTACTCCAAGGTCACAGGGGGTCAAAGAGCCATTGCTTTTTCTGCAGCAGGGTCCTTGCAAGGTCAGTGTCTCCAGAGTACTAGAGACACCCAACTGGCATGAAAGGGGAGCTTCTTTAGCTACTATATGCCCTGAAGCTCAGCTTTTAGAAAGAGTGAAAACAGAAGGTGCTTCTGTTTCAAGAGAATGGCGTTCAAGTTCTGTTACATACAATGGAATTTTGAGGAAAGCACAACTTAAGTCACTCTGGAAGAAGATACTGGAGTACTCCAAATCACTTATCTATGCACGTGCATGGAAAATAATAGCTCTAGCTGAAAGGCAACACATGGAGATCTGCATTAATCATTGCAATGCATCCCTAATAGTTGTAAGTTGCACATGACTCACTTCCATAAAGCAATATGCTCAACATGCAAGCCTGGTAGGCTGCAACAAAACATGTCTCTCCTGCATCGGTCTCTACAGACACTGCAAGCACTATAATCTTCCAACTGTTTGGCTTCACCCCCCAAAGGTGCATTCCCCCATTGTCTCCCAAGACAGACAGATGCCAACACCAAAAAGGCATCCCTAATTAATATAATCATTGTATAATTATAAAATTATTGCATAATCTTGGAAGACTGTATTACTTTAGAATGGTTATGACTATTATGAAGAGACTTCTGAATCTGCCACTACAATGCTGGATCTACATCAGAGGGCCTGACTGTGTGCACACTTGTAACTGCAACTCCCATTGGCCTTACTAGCCAGGGCTGATGGCGTCCAACATTATTTGAAGGACTGCAGTTTCCAGCCCATGTCTTACACCTACTGCAGCACACCCCTTCCAAGCGGCAACCATCAATTGAATAGTTTCATAGTATGAATAAGCGTTGGGCAACTTAACTTTTAATGAGCCATTTCATACCATATACATCATCACAGCAGATCATTCCCTTTTATGCTCACTTTCCTCATAAAACAATAAAGACTCATTGTCTTATATAGACCTCCAATGATCATGACTTAAAACCTAATCACAATTCCTCAGGACTACTTAATAGCATAGATTAGTATAATTAATGTGCTTGGTTGAGGGTTTAAAATGACAGCTCTGTGATCTGGCCACAAACTGCATTGCCCCCTTTTCTCTCCACCCCCCCGCCCCCGCCCCAATTCTGGAAATATCAGTTGTTTTAGGTGTATAAAATATTTCTACAGCAAGAGGGTGCTTTTTTAACAACTGGATTCCAGCCTTAGATATTAAATTTCTT